TATTATTATCTGCATCAAAAAGTTAAAGGGCATTTATATTTTTGCCAGTGTGTGCGTTTTAATTTGTCTATACTGCAAAATATCTCATGAAGCACTGAACAGATTTTAATGAAACATCTTTCATTCATTAATCAACAACTTTTGAAGTCAACTCATTTCAAGATGGCTGCCACAACTAAGCAAATTTATCAAACTTGAAAATTTTTGGATTGTTATTGTTTTTAAAATTTCCTAAATGAATTGCTGGATCTACATCTATGACTCAATTAATTAATTAACCCAATTTAAGATGTCTACCACATCCAGCTGACTTTAACCAACACAAGAATGACTATAATTTGGCTTATTTTACAGAAACTGTGTTAAAAGCTGGTGATATGATATTCTAAGAGTGTGAACATATCTCACAGGATCTGACAAAATGACACAAAATCATGCAAACATCATGGATTAGCCAAAACAACTATAATTGTTACTTATTGACATGAAAGGCGGCAGGTGATATTAATTTATTCTGGTCTTTTACGAATACATCGTAAGCCCCATTTTGTGATTTTGTATGATTTTTATAACAAATTTCTGAAAGAGCTTAAAAATAAAGCACAAAGAAAACAATGTAAACTCAATTAAGGTTAGAAAAACAGCACATTTATAAAAACATTTTCAAAGTAAACTAACAACCTAAATACAATATTTTTGAAGTGATTTATTAATGCCTTTAAAACAATGTTTAAAACAAAAATGAACATAACTTTAGTCCTGTAGTGATTTTTCCAAATTTCTTTTCTTAAAAAAACTTCTGTACAATTTTTAAGCTTGAAACTATAGATAAAAGCTGCAAATAAATGTAATTTTACACCTGCTTACACTCACTTTGTGCAAAATTACAAGTAAAAACTTCATTAAATGTGATTTCTAACAACAATTTCCATTTTAAATGGGATCAGTTTTAAAAATGAAAACAAACAAAATTATGTTAAAGTTTAAAGTATGAATGGCTCATTAAACACATCTTGTCTTACCTGATGAGAGATGGAGTTACTGCAGGATTTTTATAAATATCTGTGAAAGGATGTGAATCAAAATCTGTAATCTGTACAAACAAACAAACTCCCGGACAGACTGAACAAACTGAGGATTCATGTATTGAGTTGGCTGTGACTGTAGGCTCTGTGTGTGTGTCTGTGATTGGACAGGAACAGGGACTGTTTATTGGTTGGGAATCCATTCACGTTTTCCTCACATCTCTATAATGACAAATGCGCTGATGCTGAAAGTACCTGGATACATTTTACTAGATCAGAACAGGCAGAATTGAAAAGGTGAAATCTCATTATCTGAGATTCATTTTGTGAATTAAATCAAATGAACATGTTTTTTTATAGCCCACAGATGTATCCTTACTTGTTCTAGGACCCCCATAGTAGGTCCTTTTTAAAGATGTCACAATTTCCTGTTTTCTTTTCAGCAAATGAAAGAACAAATTTTTTCTCTGTCTGGTCTGAGAGCAAAGAGGGAATTTATCATGATCTGTGTCTCAGTTATTTATTTAGTTCTTTGAGTTCATCTGTTAGATTTATTCCTATCATGGTTTCAGTTGTGGGTTCTTATATTTTGAGTTTTGTACCTATTGTCAGTTTTGTCTCTGTCATTAGTTTGATCAGTTGTTTATTTTTTACGGAGCTTGCGAGGGGACATGGGGGGAACTTTTTCTTTTGCGTTCCCACACAATACTTTTGCGTAACTTCGCAATATTATTTTGCGTTCCCACGCAAATAATTGTTTTGTATATGAACTGAGTTAAATCAGACTTTTATTTTGAAAGACCCAGTTACCAAAACAGGATGTGTCGCCACAAGTTCGTGAAATTGACATTGATGTTGCGTGAGTGCGCTGTGTTAAAATATCAACATACGACATGATTCCATGCGTGGTTGTGTGATATAGTCATTCTGAAGCTGAATTAAAGCAGTAGGCTAACTCGCTAATGGTGAGCAGGTGAATTTGTTAATAAACCAGCAGGCACAACAGTGTTAAACGACTTTTGCGAGGGTACGCAATACTTTTGCTTGGGAACGAAGAAAGAAAAAAAATCCCCCATGTCCCCTCGCGGGCTCCGTAATTTCTCCCTTGTGATCCTTTTGTCATCGGTTCAGTTTCTCCTCAGTCACTTCCTGCTCTGGCCCCGCCCTTGTCTCTCCCCAGCAGTGTGTTGTTCCTCCCTGGTTAGTGTTCCTTTTTTATTTGGTGTCCTGTTGTCAGTTTGTGCTCTGGGCATTAAGCTGTTCATGTTCAGTAATTCACAACCATGTCAGCCTTTGTTTTCATTTTGTAAATAAATTAATCAGTGTGCATTGCCAATGCAATGCACACTATTGTGATTTATTTCCCATCCAAGTCATCTCCACTTTGGCAAACTTCTCCTCCTGCATACTTTGTCCTAGAACTGCCATTGTAATTTATATCTGTAAAGCTCCTGTGCCAAATGATGGCTATGCCTTTTGGTGCCTGTACAACTTATAGTTTTTGAAATATTAATATTTAATAAATTATAATGGGAGTCAATGGACCTTGTATTGGTCCAATACTGCCCCCTGCTGTATCTACTCAGTGTAGGGGTCACCTCGAGTGAAGAAACAGGAATTACTGCCTCAAAGCAGGTCTCGCACAGGCCTGAGAACTGGCAGGAACGCTGAACTCTTATTTTAGGCCATGATGGGTCATTTCATGATTCAGAATGTTTAAAGCATTTGTTAATCATAATAATGACATGTCACAAAGAATATAGAATCACATCTATTCTTTTATTGTGCCTGAAATAGACGAATGAATCACAGAAAAATCATCACCATGTTTTTCATGTTTCATTGTGTTTTATAAATCAC